AACATAGCTGAACTGAATTTGCATTGTCTCTTGGAGTTCCTTGGGCTAGGCCTGACACTATGGATGGACAGAAGACCTACATCCACGCTAACTGAGAAACAGCTAGTTACCCAATGCTTCAACATAGTGAAGAGGAAGCTGCTCTCACAACTTGAGACAGACCAACTACACATTACATCCCAGACTCAAGAAGACTGGGAGGATCAACTGGATGTGCAGCCAACACCTGAAGCTGGAACGTCACTGCCACCCCCTTCATTACAGAGCACAGCAGCTGATATGAGGCATAAGATCACGGATAAACTAGCTGCAGTCAACTGTTGAGACTGATTACCAAGGCTCACTGGAGAAGTACCATCAGATAGTATGCTAGAAGATGCCAAAATTGCCCTCACGACAATCCCTACTAACATCATAACTCAAACCAATGAACTGTTATATGCTACAGCCGCTGTAACCCTGGAGATGCTTGGCTACATGATCAAGACATTGTGGTAGTAGAGAAGGAACAAAAGACAGCAGTGACAGCAACATCAGGAAGGAGTATGAGAAGCTGGAGAAGTACCAGGGTTCGAAGGACCAGGGCTTGAAGGAGGAACTAGAGGTTGTGGAAAGTAAAGGCCAAAGTGGTCCCCATGGTGGTAGGAGTACTCGGGGCTGTAACTCCGAACATCAGAGCTCTCTGTCCAGAAGAGTGCAGTGCTAGGAACAGCTAAGATACTGCGCAGAATCCTCCAACTCCCAGGCCTCTGGTAGAGGACCTGAGATTGAGGACCATAGGGGTGAGTGAGGATTTTTACATAATCAATCAGAAATAATGCTTCTGATAGTTAGAGGCAGCTCCATTGATCCAGGTGTTATTCCTGACATTTTACTTTTGAGTAAGCATGTACTGGATTGCACTGCAGTTCTTTCAGGGAAGGCTTCAGCCAGCTGCCATCACATCAGCCCAGTGCACACATTCCATCAGTTAATAGCACTGTTCTTTGTTCATTGTTATTTCAAAAGCCTTGTCAAGTTGTTCTTCTGGAAAGAAGAGGAGGAGACGGGGCTGCTGCTGCTTGGGATGACGTGCTGGGATTAAGGGAACTGGATCCTAGGCAAATGCATGGCCCTACTCCTTACTTGGGGTCTCTTCCAGCAGTTGTTCACCGCCTGTGACCTGATTTATTTATTATTATATTTGTATGCCATCTGACTTCCAACAGTTCTAATCTGGAGTTGGCTGTGAGTTAGTTCACGTAGACCATCAGCTTATAGCAGTCTTCAGTTTGACTGTTCTGTCTGAAGTGTGCCAGAAGGCAAAGCAGCAGTTTCACCTCCGTAGCCCAGGTTCCAAATTCTCATTATGTTCAAATATGCTTTGGCACGGCCAACAGATGCCTCCTGAGAAATCATCTCACCTTGATGCTGTTGCTAGCGAAGCACTATCTTAAGTAGCCCTTTCTAGCGGTACGAATAGTGACAAGCCATGAGCCTCCTTGATCAGTTTATAAATTACACCTCCCTAATTCACTGGAGTATAAGGAAGAGGAGGAGGTACAGCACAATTGGACTTGCAAGATTCTGTTATTATAGCTAATCTCAGTAAAAGCGGTTTAGCCTTCCTGTGAAGTTGATTTCCCGGTTTGGTCTACCTAGTGGGACTGACATCAGTCTTTCAAGTGTGATTGTATTGTACATCCTCCTTCTCCTAATCCAGTGAATTAGGGAGATGTCTACCTGAGCCACTTCTGAATGTTATGTCACTGTTCTGGACCCCAAAAATGTTGAGCCCCTTTTGCCTAGCTGACAGTTCCTGCATATTTCTGTCAAGGTCATCTTGCTTACTCTCTATGCCTTTTTAATATTTTGGGGACAAAGAGGCTCTTAGTTACTGAAGCTCTGCAGTTCTACACTCATGGCTCTGTCCTAAAGCTTTATCATTCAGCTTAAACCTAGATCTCCCCAAATCAAGTAGAAAAGGAAAGATGGAAGAATCCAGTTCAGGAAAGCAATAGAGGCCTATGATTGAGAGGTTGCTGAGCCTCCTCCCAAGCGCCTTTCTCTCCACTGGGCTCCCCCCTCCCAATATCTATTGGTTAACGGGTTGGAATCTCACGAAGCTTCGCCTCATGAGAAGGCCTCAGGAGGAAGGCTATGTGCGGCCAGCAGCTGCCTCATGCAGGGCCAGGCATGCCGCGTCAGCAGTGAGAGGAAGAAGGTCAGCTGGGGGCAGCAGAGCTGGTGGAGCACAGGGCGGCTGGGGCTGGGCTTTGGGCTGGGGCAACTGGCCGCAGCATGAGGCTTGAGGCAGCACCCCTCAGCGGCAGCCGGCTGAGACCGCTCTGAAGGCCCTGAGCCTCTACTTCAGACTCAGTGCTGCCACCACCGCCAAGGAGTGCTGCTGTCCAGGGTGGCCAAAAGGGCAGATTGTACTGGGGGAGAGATAGGTGGGTGGGGGGAGTTCAAGAGGAGGCAGGGTGACTAAGGCTTGGGGCTGGGAGGGACCAAGCCGGGAGTGGCTTGGATCGGGGCGGGTCCTTGCCTAATAACCAGTGGGATTCGGTTAATGATGGCGATGGGGACTGCTGAGATTTCCGTTGCTAAGCAATGTGGTCATGTGACATCATGCTTCATGACCGTATCGCTTAGCAATGAAAATTCTGTTCCCAATTACCATCGTTAACTGAGGACTACCTGTATATGCTTTTCCAGAAGTATAACATGTATTACACTGCTTATTTAAGTCTAAAACCCAATATTATATTTAAAACATTTATCTTACTTTTCCAAACATTCAAGTCAGCTGTGCAACATACAAAGAAAATGCTAAAAGGATTAATAAAATACCAAAGTATCACTGTGTCTGTAATATTACATACACACAGCAGAAAGGTTAAAATTAAAAGCAAGAGTTGGCAGGGCCAGCAGTTCTTTTGATGGAACAAGGTCTGGGTTATTGGGGCTCAACAGCTGATCTTAATTTTCAGCAAGGAATGAAGAAGTCAATAGCAGCCAAATACTTCCCAGTGAATACAAACACAAGAGTTGGTGTCGGGGGACAGCTGGCTAGCAGCTGGAGAAAGATCACTCACGAGCTTAGTATTTTGTATTTTGGAACTCTCCTTAGGACCGACGTGCGCAATACACGGCTTTCTCATTTGGGATTGTTGTTCAGAACATCTGTTCTTTCGAGAATAATCAGAGGGATCTCCTTGCTTGCCCTCTTACCCAGAAGTGAGGAAATAACAAAGGTCCCTAGTGCAAGGTCTTGTGCGTTTATATGATACAAAAGCTTGATGGCCAGAAAACTGTTTCAATGAGCCCAGAATGCGCTTAAAATTAAACAATTTAGTTCAAAACTTTCTTGAATAGCAGTTCTCACTCCAATATCATTGTACACAGATTGTGTACAAGGAATCTAAATCGTTATCTGTACCAAGATTTACGATAGCTGGAAGAACTGGACAGCACAATAGGAAAACATCCGTTCTCAGAGAAATAATCTAAAACAGAAAAAGAAAAGCCACTGTTTGTAGTTTACACATATACAGGTAGTCATTGCTTCACAATGGTAATTGGGACCAGAATTTCCATAGCTAAGCGATGTGGTAAAGTGCGATGTCATGTGACCGCATCACTTAGCAATGGCAATTCTGGCACTCCCCATTGCCAGCATTAAGCGAGGACCTCATTGCAACTTCCTGCCAGTTTCCAACAAGCAAAGTCAATGGGGAAGCTGGCAGGAAATTGCAAGTCCCAGGCGGCTCGCAAGCAGCTACTGCTGGGTGGCCAGCAATCTCAAACTTCATTAATAAGATACAGAGAGTCTTTAGAAATAGGACTGAGTTTTCCATATGGCTTCTGATACTGTGCCAGAATGCTTCTGTAATGAAACTAGAGGAAATAGAAATGGGGGTGGATGGGTGAGAAAGTCTATGGAATCTATGGGATCTCTTCACCTCCTTATGTTCCACATGTTTTCTACTGATGGTTGTTTTACAAATGTCATATGTAGAAGAGAAGTAAAGGGCAGAGTGGTCTTATGCTATTAATGTCTTTGTTAGGCACAGCCCTAATAAAATAATAATTCTTCAGAATCAGTTTGGAAGCTCAGATAGCCCTAATGTTTATAGTTTAAGGGACCCATTCAGAAGTTAACGTGTGCTACAGCTTTAAGACATTTATTTTCAGAAATGTCTTCATTCTCAAAGCAATCTATATTACCTCAAGAATTAAATGCTATCAATTTCCCTGAGAGTTACTCCTACGTGCCTAATCCTGCAGCCTTACTTTATTCCATGTTTTACAGACTAATTCTTTATGTCCAAATTATATTGGCCTCTTGATTTCCACGTATCTATATTGTAACCTTGCTAAGAATTTGTGGTCTTTACAGCCCCATATTATCTGACACCCATACCAGACTAATTCAGATATAACTCTAAGAAATAATGTGGCTTATTTTCATCTTAGTATAATGCCTGAACCAGCTCAAGAAAGAAACCATGGATTACTTTTGTAGCAAGTCATATCTGGAAATTAGAACATGGTCATGGTTAGAACCACTGACTTTATAAGCTTGTTTGAGTCCAGAACTCCAACTTTTGTTTCTGGGAATCAGCAGATAAACCGAGGAAAACAACCCAAAAATTGGCAAATACACCTTATTTGCTTATCTGCCAGAACAACTCTGGTTTATTCCTAACTAATCATGGTCTCAGTTACATGCTAACACAGCCACTAACTCAAGAGCTTTCTCTTCTTACATGAGGTTCTACACAAATTGTGGTCAGCTGGTCACACTTCAGTCTATTTGTTCAGTTAAAGTACTGACCAAAAGTAAAATTTTTATTGCTGCTCTCTACATGTTGTGTGGCTTCTGATGAGGGTTTTATCATGTAATTGCCCAGTGTTATTCAAGAATTCTACCATCTTTGTTTTCTTCTTGTTGCGAGAAAAAAAAAAAGCTACCAGAAAGCAGGGGGACCCATACCTCAATACCTTTTTTATTGGCAGTTCTAGGAAACCTCCATCTGAAGGTACCCTTAGTGAATGTGAAGACCTGCTTATGGAGAAAACTTGTGATAAATCCTCAGAGAGTTATGGGGACCGTAGCAGACTTGATTATTCCATCTCTGATCTCCTTTCATACATCTCTGAACAGAATAGGAAAGCACAGTGCTCCTTAGTTACATGGTAGAAAATCAGATGCCCACATGCTTCTGTCTCACTAGACTTGAGTAAACTTTAGTTAGTTTCCCTATCCCCACTAGTCTGACAGAAGGAAGCTGACAATTTGATCCAATCCCATATATATATCATAAAGTTCAAGGATTTATTGGAGGAGAGTTGATAAAAGCATAGCAGAGGAGAGTACAAGGAACAATAAAAATCAGTTCACAAATATTCCCTAACCTATATGTAATTGTTACTCTCTCCTTTTTTAAAGTGACAGTATCACAACACTGGCAAGAAAAATAAAGGTCCATTTCAGTCAAGAGTTTTTTATATACTGCTCCTATCATCCTCTTCCAGATGGGTGCAGAATATTTTTGAGAACATACAGCTGTTCAGTTCTGCTATGTATTGTTTCTATTCGTCCTTGTTTTGGTTGATTTAAACATGATGATTTTCTCATTCTAAGACTGTTATTCCCTTTATGAACTGTTTTAAATACATTCTAATATGTTCTTGGTGGGAACTCTTTTCCAGATTGCTGGATTTGGCATAGATTTAAAGTTTGTACATCAACATGTCACAATCTCTTTCTCCATTTATTGTGTCAAATGGGATAGAGTGGATCAAAAATTCTCAAAGGAATGTTTCGAGAAATAATGCAGAGTAGTTTAACCCATGACAAATGTTCAGCACTCTTCTAGCTCTCCATGGGAAAGGCAGAGGGCATTATTAACTGGCCAATCCCAGAACTGTATGGGGGATGCCCATTATGTTCTTTTTAAGGGCAAGATTAAAGCGTGACTCAGAAAACAAAACCCCAAACTTGTGAGATATCCACTAAGGAGAACTTCAGTTAGCTTACTGTTGTGAAGATTAACAATGGAATCCTATCCATGCTTACATGTAAGTAAATTCTACTGAGCTCAGTGGTACCTGCTATTAAGCAAATATACGGAATGCATGTGTTACACCAAAACAAAAAGAACAGGAAGGCCAGGTACCTTGACTTTTCCACTCCTTCACATTTCTGGTTCACTGGGCAATCAGAACATCTCTAGAAGTTCTCTTTAACAGAAGAGTAATCCTGAAGGATTCTGAATAATTCAATAATCCTGAATATAATCCATTGCATTATATTCTGAAATTGATCCAATTGAAGCCCTAATATTTGCTTTATTCTCACAGCACAGTTCTAATAATATTGACAACATAATCCTTCCTATAGTAATCTTTTACACAATTATTACAAGCACAGCTTCATGTAGTTCAGTTATATCTTTCTTTGAGTTATCTTATTTTATATATTTATCCTTTTTCATTCCCTTAGCTAATATTAAAATTAAAGTATATACAGTATAAAAAAGGCAGAATGAATTGAAACATAAAAAGTCATAAGAGTTTATGTGAATAAAAACAAACTTTTAATAATGTACAACCAAAAATTGGACAGCCTCATTCTTATATTAAAACAAAAGATTTCTTTCCTATATTACATCTATTTACATTTGCATACTGAGGAGGTAAAGTGTCTAAGTGGCTATTTTACAGTCTTTCTCTAGTAAAACATAAAACCTGAAACAAATATAAAGATCAAGAAGGAATCAATTTTTGGGACAAGAAAGAGGAAAGAGACAACAGTACCAAGAATGATCTATTCTGAAGCCAGTGTGACCCCAACAAGTCATACCACCCACTTACTAGGTTTGAAAATGATTAAGGGCATTGCAAATGTACTTTTCCACTGGGAAATTTCATATAGCAAGATTCTTCCATGTCTGTTCTGATGAAGCTGGTTGGTTGTTCCCCAAATAGAATTCAAAATTGGGATTCTATCCTGCTACTTGTATGAGGTTGGGCTATTTGACCACTGGACTAAAACTTCATGAAAAGCCTGGCAGAGGCTACTGTTTTCTAACATTTTCAGTTTGAAAGTAATTGTAGTAAATTGCTAAACATTAGTCTATTTGGTTTTTTGAATTTATTTTTTAGACAAAAAAAAAAAAGTATATAGGGCCTATATTAGGCCTTCCTTAAAAACTCAATGTACCATGACATCTTCTGGTCTAATTTGCAATGGAACCTGCTACTGCTTTTTTTTTTTTTTTAAGTAATTATGAAGGAATGGTTAGGAACATTAACACGCTTGTATCAAAGTAAACAGGATATTTGCTCCTCTTAGTTAAAGATGCCAACTGCAGTAGCTAACTTCCACATCTCACTGGATACATGGACAATAAAGAAATGTCCTAAAGGAGCATCCATCCTTACTTTATTAAAATGATGCAATTTGAGGGCCCTTTTTGAACATGCCTGCAGTCTGAAATGCCTGCAGTCTGCAGGCAAAACTAGGGAAAATGATTCTTTAGTCATTTTTAGTTTGTCATGATAATGCAAAGAAAAAAAATCTTGCCCAAGAGTCCAGTTCTGTTGGATGAATTTTTTAATGAATAAAATGGGTCATATCCTCTCTGGTTTGGATGCCAGAGCCTACTGTGGTGAATGGGGTGCCACCTTGTGATATGATCTGGATTATTTTGAGCTTGTGGAACCCAAGGAAGCAGATAGAATCCTCTGTAGTCTGACTACCTGCCACCTGTATGTTGGATTCATTACCCTTCTGGCTCCTTTGGGTGGCTAGACAGAGTGTGACCAGCTGGATCTGGGAGGTTATCAATGCTTCTTTGAGGGATAAGTTGATGCTGCCTGCTTTGAGGGAGGTAGCTGAAGACGTAAACCCTGCATCCAGCTGTGTTTGATAAATTTTGCCCTATCTGCATTCTATCCTTAGGGAAGAGCGTTGAGAAGGTAGTGGGGAATCAGTTAGAGAAGATCCTGGAGGAAGCAGATTATCTGGATCATTTTCAGTCAGGATTCAGGCCTGGTTATGGGATAGAAATGGCACTGGTTGTCCTGATAGATAACCTTTCTTCAGATGCAGATGGGGTGGGGGGAATATACCCCTCTATTTATTAGAACTTGGCGGGTTCAATACCACTAACAATACCATGGTATCCTTCTTACAGGGAGTTGGAGACACCATTTTACAATGGTTCTGCTCCTACCTGAGTGTGTGATCATAGTCAGTGACCCTGGTGGAGATGCACCTGAGTCCATGGAGCTTCAGCGTGGGATCCCTCAGGGTTCCATGTTGTTTAACATCTAACTGGTGGGACAGATGATCTGCTGGCTCAAGCTGAGATATCAGCAGTATACCAATGCTCAGTTATACTTCACAACCCTATGGAAATCTTGAATTAGCATCTGAGAGGTTTGGATGGGGCAAGATAAGCTCACATCAAATTCTGTAAGATGGGGTTGCTAATGGTCAGTAAAGATTGGGACATCCCGACATCAGTGCCAGTTGTTACTCTAGACTGGATTATGTCCCCCCTGAACGATGTGGTTGTTGACTTGGAGTCCTCCTGGACTCACAACTCCTGCTTAAATGGCTGGTGGAAATTGTGGCCAGGAGGGCCTTTGCCCAGATTTGGCTTATGCACCACTTATAATCCTACATGGAACAGGATGCCCTGACTTCAGTAACTCATACTTTGATCACTATTTGATTAGACTACTGCAACATGCACTGCATGCAGCTGCCTTTGAAGACAATCTGGAAGCTGTAGCTGATACAAAATATGGCAGTAAGATTATTGGTAGGACAGCCCCATCTAGCCAGAAATACCTATATCAAAGGTCCTGCATAGGTAGCCAGCAGGCTTCTGGGCCCAATTCAAAGTGCTGGCCTTTAGCCTTGAAGCCCTAAATGGCACATTCAGGCAATACCATAGCAGAATTGAATCTGCTCACTGGTTTAGTCATCAAGAGAGTGTCTGTTGAGAGTTCTCTCCCCTTGTGAGGTTTATAACATCCTCCAACTTATGCTGCAATTCTGTAAACAGGTTAAAGCTATTTTATTTCAATGCACTTTTGGTCCAAGCTGACTGTCTTTTTATTTCTGCTCTCTGTGGTTATTTTTTATTATTGACAAGTATTCTGAATTTAGCTATTTATTGTTATGAGGTTTTTTTTGGTTTGATGTTGTACACCACCCAGTTTTTTTGGGATTGAGGCAGGTTATAAGTATTGTTAAAATCATAAATAAATAGCCTTTCATACAGAACTAGAGCTGATTTACTCTGAGAAAGAAGCAACAAATGTTATATTTGTAGCAAATTACTATAAGGCATAATTGGGGAATTATACTCCGATTTAAACTGACTTTATATGAAACATGATTATCTGCCTCTAAGCTGCAGATTTAGGAGTAAAATGTCAAGAAGTGTGAACAGAAATAGGACACACACTCTGGCAAAATTATTTACCACTTGGGAATACTTGGAAACAAATATGCTTAAGGGAAGTACATACTTTTTAGCCTCAAGCTAATTTCATGACTATCACTTAAAATCTTCAACTTATCCATGATAATCAAATGGCTCTTTTTAAATGGAGGTGGATTTGACAGTGAAATTATACACACGAACATTTCCATTACCTGAGCGCCAAGTGTAAATCTTCGTGATATATCTTTTTCAATTCCAACTCCAGCAATCATAGATGCCATTTCTTATTTATGAAAATATATGATTAAAATAAATTTCAAGGTGCCTTTTATTTTAGATCAGAATACAAGGAGGATTTTAGTAAATGGTATCCCTCTGCTAGAGATTTGTGGTGGTCTCTGGCTCAGAAATGATCAGACCAAAATAACAGAAAAAGGCAAGTTTTACAATCAGAAGCACAAATCCCACATCTGTCTACAAACAAAAGCGCCTGAGATTTTCAAAACACAGCCTTAAAGGAAGCTACAACTTGTTACAGACTCAAAGGAACATGTCAAATTGACTCCAATACACAATGCAAAACTCTGCAATGTATATACCGATACACTCAAAGACACGAGAAAGGTTAGGGGAGAGGGAAGAAAGACAAACACATGCCCATACTGACAAACAACAAATACAGAATGTTTTATATTCTTATAAAATCCCCTGTCTAAGAAGGGGTAACTCCTCCTCTTAGAAGTCAAGGGCTCATGGTTTGTATAGAAACAGTTCCAGTGTAAAATTGAGCTGTGTGCATTTCTCAGTTTTTTTTTCTCTTTTTTTGCAGTGATTTCTTTATAAACAGAATGAGAGGTAATTATCTATTTTACTCTTATAAAGAATAGTAAAAAAAGTTAAAATCCAGCCCCTCCATTAAAATAAGAATTAAAAAAATTAATCAAACCACTCCAGTTAAAAGTTATGGCTTCAGGAGTTATCTATCAAACACCCAACCTACACATAATGGAGTTTCTAATGCATTATTTGCATCACAATACAATCTCAGGCTGTTCCCCCCACAAAAAAATGTGACAGCCAAATCAGTCCTACTATGCCCTGATCATTTAATTCAAACAAAATGCATGCAGTTAATCCATTCCCAATCCTTCCCTATCCCACCCCACCCCCTGCCCAAGTGACACAAAGTAGCTTCCAGAATAAGGGAGATCATATTATATCTATATATCTATCTATATACACATACACTTACGTACACACACGCACACACACACACGCGCGCACACACGCACACAAGCTTTGTTTTGCAGTCATTGTTCCTTGAAGGAAAAATGTTGCCAGGAAGTCTCTGAGTGCATATTTCTCCATAGCCATTTCATTCTGTAGAGAAATGTAAAACACCGGAGTTGTTCTGCCAAAGGCACCTTGAGAAATGGAAGGGCAATGATCCTATATGGTCAATTTTGTTTGCCTTTCTTTAACTAGGAAAGCACCAATTTCAGCGGACACTTAATTCTTCCGCAATTCTTTCTGCTTGCTAGGTAATCATTGCTACCCATTATGGGAGAATCTTAAACTAAAAACAAACACACATAATCAAAATATTTCCCTGCTTTGAAAAAAAAGAGGGGAAGAATGGCAGTGAAACAATTTGTACAGTGCCCAAAGTAGGTCTACTATTTGGCAGGGCAGAACCCTACTCCTTCCTAGTGAGAAGATAGCTAATTATCAGCTAGTGACAAATAGGGAATTAGCACCTGCACTTCACAAAAGGACACTCTACATTTTCACATGCACAGGAGCACAAGCAGACACAATACATACCTACGGGGCAAAGGGACACGTACCTTTGCACATGCACACGCTGTAGTTCTGGCTTAGGATCTGTTGAGCTAGAAAAGGGCCACTGTATGGCCGGACAGAGGTGCACACAAGGTGCCTGTGTGTACATGTCAGTCCTCAAAACCTTCCCCCTGACACACTTTTTAATCCATAAGAAAGTATCTTCTTCTCCCAAGCCATAAGGCTTTCCCTAATCAGCACATCACTCAAATTTACAGGGATTTCCATAAGAGAAACAAGGTTATACTGTGGCTGACATTCCCCTATACAAGCCCCTCAGAATGCTCTCAGGAGGGGATGAGAAAAAGATGTCTTTCACTCTTGAATGAGGAAATGAGTGAAGTCTCGAATGTCCATCCTCCTCACCTGGCCACCTGCAGGCCAAGCTGTCCAGTTGATAGCAGCAGGCTGAATAGAAAGACGAGGTAGGCCTTCTTCACCACATCAATTCTAGCATGGCAGCTTTTTGTGCACTTTCCTCAAGATGGTGCTTGCAGTCTAAATTTTCACATCTTCCTGGATACTGAGTTGAGAAAGAGTTTTCTTGATGCGTAAGGCTGTTAGCCGTGCTGCTCCATTGGCATACCAGCACTCACGCATCATTTTCCCCATAACTCGCAAAGCCTGTGAACATGGGGAGAGTGATATCAGGAGAAATCTCTTTTCAGTACATCAAATCCATAAAAAAAAAAATTATGAAGAATGAGCTGCTTATGCTTACAATGCTACTTCCGCCTTGTTTCCTTTTATTAGTATGCATTTGAAACTGCAGTAGCATCTTATTTTCCTATTAGGATTTTTAAAAAACTGGCTAAAATAAAATTCAGTGTTTGCCAATTGCTTCTTAAAAGAAGCAAAGATTCATCCTTTCACAATCATGAAAAATACAATTTTTGTCACTGGTTGTATTTCCATATAACTCAAAACTGTTTTTAAAATTACAGTTTATTAAGCATTCCATACTATGCTATAATATGGGTCTTTTGTTGTTTTGCTTTAGTATTATATGAAAACCAAGCCAGAGCCAATCCAACTTCTTTTTGACACGTTAAAGCTGAAATTTGCACTTGAGTTCTTTCTTTTGTATGCAGACAGTTTATTTATGTCTTTCTACAAACAAGTAAAGAAAACTTGAAAAAAATGGTTGTGTTTAAACACCATGTCAAGCTATAATGGGATCTGTTTGGTTTGGCTTGATATGTGATGTGTGAATCCAGTGTGTCTTATTCATAGTACCACACTTATGTAAACCTTGGCTTAGTGCAGTGTATAAACCCAGTCCATTTTTTAAACTGACTGGCTAGAACTCAAATCAAAGCCAGAATTGTAATATATTTGGTAGAAAGTACTTTTGTATGTGTGGATTAACCTACAGATTGCTCTAGGGAATCTGCACAGGCTTTGTTCAATAAACGGGAAAAAATCACTTCAGTGCAAAATATAGTAAAAAGAGAGTTGTTTACTTAAAGGATGAGTTGATAACTGGGGTTCTTTATTCAATTGCTACCAACATTTAATGCCAACAAGCTGCTGAAGCCTTCCTTTATCCCCTAGCTAATATGACAAATCCTATATTGAGAATGATGCTTTATGGCATGCTTTTTAGTCTTCAGGATCAATTGTACCTCATAACTCTGCCACCAGTTGGGAATGTTAGGTCGTAGTTTCTGTTCACATACAACTTTTCTCATTTCTTCAATGGACGGGTCAGACGGCACAAGGTCATAGTATGGGAGCTGATATTCTTCATGAATACCTAAAAGGGGAAGCAAAAAGAGAAACAGGCTATTATTTATTATGAAAGTATCGTTTTCACAGACACGGTAGCATTAATGATATAGGACAAACAGGATGAACTGCCTACAAAAACAGCAGGTAGTATCATAAAACACGGATCTTAGCAGTAAAGCTGATAGCCGATGATGTGTGCAAATTGGTTTTCAATAATAATAAATTATGATCATTATATAATAATAAAAAATATTAGACATGCACAGGGAAAAGCATCTGAAAGCCTGTGGCCTGCTTCTTTTAACTTTACAATATTTAAGATTACCAAAATAAGAAACAATATAGAAAATAAGAAAAAATATGTGTGTGTGTGTGTATATATATATATATGTATATATATATATATATACACACACACACACATATACACACACATACACACAGAGCAAATAGTACATGAAAAATACCTGTAACAATCTTAGGAAAGACAAGAAAATTATTACCCACTATTGTGGTCTTACATTCTAACAACACATTAAAAACCATTTTTTTCAAGGAGATTATATATCCTGTGACACAAATAATGGGCAAGGTAAAACTGGCAGTAATATATTACTGTAGTCTCTCAGTTCAGGTAGTTGAGGGTTTTTCCAATATATAACATATACTATCCATTCCATCATAAGTATATGAAGGTATTTTTCTTTAGATTTCCCCCAATAAGATTATTATTATTCTTCTGCTTCCCTCAGAGACATCATTAATAGCTTTCAAAATTGTTTTCCAATATTACATATCATAATAACTACAAACTTAAGTGAACAAAATCTCTTTCCCTCATTTTCAACACAAATTCAAAACTTTACCCATTGTAATTCATTTATTGGGTCCAGTAATTTTCCTGAATGAAGAAGCCACACACTTAACAACTTTTACATAATTTCTCTGTCTTGCACAAAAATCTTTAGTGAGAGGTTAATTGCCCATCTCATATATACAATTTAGAATTACTTTGGTAACTGGGGTAGCACACAAGTTAATAAACAAACACAAGATTTTTAAAAAAATGCTCTTGAAGTTACTATTTCTTATCCACTGATAGTTTTTAAAAGTACCTAATTTGTACAATATACAAAAAAGTTTTGAAAAACAAGAGCTATAGCAAAATTAAATCTCACAACTTCTTCTGCAGTTCCTTTGTTATTCCAAAATTCTAATTACAATACTTTCTTTTTACAGAATACTAACAACACTGGTATCTGAGTCGGATTTTTAACATTTCAATTATTTCTTTAATCCTTTCTCTTTAAGTCAAAGTTCTTAGTTTTATACCTGAGAACATTTAGATTTCACTTTAACATTTGGGTTAAATAGTTAAGTGTTATTATTCTGTGGCAGAATAATTATTTTCTCTTCTGGCACTTTAAAAACCGTGAACAACAGAATAGACCACTTTTTGCTTCATTATATTTAAGTTATCCATCATTGCCTAATTCAGTTTAATTTAATTTATTTGATTTAGGAGCTGCCCGACTCCAGAATTTTCCTTCATTTCATCCAATTCATTTTTTAAACTATATACGGCTTGTCTTCTTCTTTGACATGGATCATCTTTATATTTAACTTTTAATGTGTTTTTTTCCCCATCTTTTTTTTCCTATGTGCAATTTGATGTGGGTTTTTTGGATTTTCTTATGCAAATGAATATAATTCCAATTAGCATATTCATCTCAGTTTTTACAGTCTGTGTAGGTATTTCGACTATATTACTTGATGTGATAAATTTAAATTTAATCCATTTTAATGAGGTCCAAACAATACATGCAAAGAAACTAAAAAAAAAAAAAACTTTGCTGTATGAAGAAAAACTAATTTTATTGAGAAGCTGAAACAGTAATTCACAGATACAATGTACTTTTAGCAGATTTTCCTGAAGTGAAAATTTTGAACCTGGAAAATTTCTGTTTCTTACTCATCTCTTGTCCTCCTCTTTTCCATTTATGTGGGCAGGTTTTAAATAACACTTTTAGTAAGCATAGGCTGCAGCTATGACCTATGTCCTATTTTCTGTTCCCTACTTACTTCCACCTAATAAATAATCCATTTTTTTAGTTCATGACAAAGAAAAAAGAAAATAAATGATAATCTCCACAACTGATCAATAAAAATATAGTATAGTTTTTACCTCACTCTGGAGTACAGTCTGCAGTCACGTTTTTATTAATACTTCATGACATAACACTTCTGTTAATTAGTATATCCAAGAGAGCAGGAAAAATACATTTAATGTTAATCCTGAACTGTAGCTTTGCCATCAGAACCAATGGCAATAATTCAAACCCATTAAAGGAAAGGCTGACTACAGGGCTGAATCAATGGAAAGAGATTCTGAATCAGCAGCTTTACTTCCTTCGACATCAAAACAGACTGAGTTTTCCCACTCTTCCCATTATACCATTAAGTTTCTACTAGTCCCAAGTTTTAACATTTCTAGGCACTTGGATGACAGTGTTGGATACAACATCTGAAGCCAACAGGAAACTTTTAACTTTTATTAGAGAAGAAAAAGAAATCTATTACCTCCTGAGTTGCATCTACGAGCAATTTCCCAGTAAACCAGGCCAAGGGCATAGATATCCGCACACTTAAATGAATCAAAATGCTTCATGTTTATTGTTTCATCAAGAACCTCAGGGGCCATGTAACTGTAGCAAAAGAACAATCAGATTAATGGCATCTATTTGAGACATATGCCACATGTACATAAAATCCTGCATCTATTGTCTACTCTTGTGAGTAGGAGCAAAAGCTCATTCAACAAAACCTTTATACAATATTTTTGAATGTTGTATATTATTTGCCTTTCTATTAACAGCATTTAAAAATGTTTACCAACAAAATCAAGCAAAAACTAAGATAATTTTGTCTTGGTAGGTAGCAGCATAGTAAACCTTTCATTGGCAGGAATATTGAAGCAGGAACAGGAACACAAGCAATCATTGCACAAAACTCCCTTTTATTTGCCAGGTAATTTAGCTGGCTCTGTAATACTATTGTGAGTATTTAGATTTACAAATAAAATGCACAAAATTTTACACTAAGGTTATTAAGAGTTAGCCCAAATAATTCATTTGGAAATCATTTTGGGAGAAGAACGAACATATTAAGGCACAATGCAAATTCTAAGTATATAGTTCATATAGATAAAAGGCAGTTATCTAATTAATATATTATGTGCTCAGCTACTATCAATGACAGATTACTGCCCTTCAACAATTTACTATTTAATGAACTACTCATTTTTATAAAAATGTTAATTGCACTTTTAACGGACAATGTCAGTGATTTTGCTAAAAATATATTTTCCTGTAATTACTTTACTTTGAAATTCTTCAAATTTCAGAAGTAATTTAATGCTGTAATTGATTCACAAATACCCAGTCCTAATGATGCATGTGAAAAAAGCTAATTAGTGTTAACAGCTAATGGGTAAGAGAATACAATTCTAAAAATGATGCAACCAAAAGGCTACAGAGAAATGAAGCATTTGAAACAACTACCAGTTGTATCTACATCCACCCAACCCAATCAGCTAAATACATAATTATTTACCGTTTTGTTCCAACTCTCTGGTTAGGGGCAATGTCAATTGTATCAGTAACAGAGTCATGACGGACAGCTAGACCCAGGTCTGCAATGGCACAAGTTCCATTCTTCTTCACTAATATATTTTTGGATTTCAAGTCCCGGTGTGCAATCCCAGGTTTTCCTAACAAAGTATGAGAGAGAATTCTGTTTATACACTTTGGCCAAGAATAAAGCAAAAAAGACAGTGCAATCTAAAAACCTTGGCTAAGCTGTGACAATATCAACATAAGATGATACCCAATTGTACATCTCCGTTCCTAGCGATTTAAGAGATGCTGTGGATGTCTTATCCCAGTGTCTGGAGGCTCTGAAGGTCTGGATGGGGAACAACAGGCTTCAACTGAACCCTGGCGAGACTGAGTGGCTTGGGGTATTGAGGCCCTCCAGTTCCGGGATTATACCATCGCTACTACTGGATGGGGTTGCACTGCCCCGAACAGACCCTGTGTGCAACCTGGGGGTCCTCCTGGACTCACAACTCCTGCTCGATGAGCAGGTGGCAGTCGTGGCTAGGAGGGCCTCTGCACAATTTTGTATTGTGCACCAGTTGTGCCCATTCCTGGACTGACGGGCCTTACTCCTGGTCACTCATGCCCTAGTCACCTCCCAATTGGACTACTGCAATGGGATCTACATGGGGCTGCCCTTAAAGAGTATCTGGAAACTTCAGCTGGTGCAGACTGTGGCAGCATGGGCAGTTATGTGTGTTTCTGACAGAACACACATTAGACCTCTGCTTCGCGAGCTGCATTGGTTACCTGTTTGTTTCCAGGTCCAATTCAAGGTGTTGGTGTTGACCTTAAAACCCTTCGTGGCATGGGACTGGGTTATTTGAGGAATCGCCTCTCCCCAATTTCATCTGCCCATCACACTAGAACTAGCAGAGCGTGTATATTACAGGTTCTGTTGTCTGGGGAGCTACGTTTGGCGGGCCCTAGGCAGCAGGCCTTTTCTGCTGTAGCACCTGCATTGTGGAACTTTCTGCCCCCCCGCCGAGTTTTCAAAGGTCCCTCAAGACCTGGTTATGTCAGCATGCCTGGGGACCCTAGGGGACAGGTGAATTAGTGAGGTGGCTCTATTATTAACATCCCTTCGCCTATTATTTTTGTTTTCTGTTTTAGTTTTGTTTTTATAGCTTTTAATGTTTTTAATAATTACTACATAATGGTTTTACATAATAAATGTATTTATTTATTGTTTTATTGGATTATTGTACTCTACCCAGAGTCACTTTTTGTGAGATGGACAGCCATATAAATTTGATAAATAAATAAATAAGATCTAAAGATTGTAAATTATCCTGAAGGAAAAAAATAAGATTTTATCCAACTCACTGGACTTATTTTAACAATAGCGTAAGTTGAATAGGTCCTCTACTGCCAGCTGTTCCTAGATTAAGACAGTAGGACAGTTCATATATGCCTTTTCTATCTTGTTAGATCACTATTTAAAAGATAGGATGAAGAACTGGGATCGTCTATTCTCATTTACATCCTCCCTCAGCATATCAATCCTGATTATCTTAAAGCACAATTCCTCATTATTTAAATTAAGAGAAACTATGCTTAACATCAGTTTATTAACTGGGATCTTTAGCCCCATGTATTCCAAACATCTCTTCCTGTTAAGTAAACGACGTCAGATTTCTAAATCTTCTCAATGTCAGCCTATAAGCCAATTTGATCCTGCAGGGTTGGCATGCTCCAGGTTCCTTCGATTAAACAATGTCACCTATTGGGACCCTGGAAGTGCATCTTCTCTGTAGCAACGTATAGTCTCTGGAATGGGACTCCCCTGAGATCCAGATGGCTCCCACTCTGCAGTTGTTTAGAAGAGCCATGAAGACCTGACTTTTCACCCAGGCCTTTGGCAAGGGAGAGGGAGACCCCTTTCTTCATTCCATCTAGTCTGTCATGCTTGACATCTTTTATCTTTCACTGATTTTACTGTAATTTCTTTGATTACTGAGAGTCACCCAGAGTTGCTGAGAGTCGGGGGCATACAAGTTTAATGTTGTTATTGTTGTTGTTAGAGTCAATGAATCTTTTTACACCATAAGAATTAACTCTACTTTAACTCATGTCTATCAATAATAATGGAAGCTTACTTCTCTAATTTTCTAACCATTCATTATCAAATTTATATCTGTAGCCAAACTGTTCCTTACCTTGGGTCCCCACAATTTCCATGTGCAGATGTGCCAAACCACTGGCAGCAGACAGAGCCAATTTAATCATTCCTTCAATAGTTACAGTATATCGGTTGAGGTAATCAAACAGAGAGCCATGCTCATGGTAATCAGAGACCAGCCATAATTGTGTCCAAGTGCCGTTATCTATTAGCAAGGTAAAAAAAAAAAAACCAGAAAAAAAAAGGAAAGAGTGCACTGAAACAAGAAGGATAACAATGGTCATATTTCTTTCTAGAAGTCGCTGAAGAACAGCAGATTCATTACTGCTTGCTGCTGTTTACCATAGTTCAGAAAGATGTTATATTTTAACTGTATTTGTATAGTTACTTACTGCAGGCTTTATACTAACAAATGTCTGTACTGTAGATTTATTTTCCTTTCCCAGTTTAGTCCCCTCAATAGTCATAAATAAAATGTTATGATACAGCTTGAACCTGGCAGTGATTCCCTCTCCTCACCCCCTGCCCCAGAAAATGTGATCAGAGGTATTGCCAACATGCCCTATGATAATGAGGACAACGGGAAATGCTGTGAAAAACAGAAATTCACTGGGATAGCCTGTACCCATTTTTTGCTTTCAGGTTTGCCACTGTACAATGCAGCTAACTAATCCATGCCCACAAACTTCTCTCCTCACAAAGGGAAGGATGACCTGTATGATAATAGAGATTGCAGACTGCCTCTGTGTCTATAAAAGGCAGCAAGATAGCCTGTTTTATCTTAAAAGTAGAGAATAACAATACTTAAGGGATGGAACTATAAAAACTGATTCCTGGATTTGTCAATTTTTGCTCCATTAGAAGGCAGTAAGAACTCATGAAGTGCAGGAATGTTGCCATTTCATACAGCATTAGATTATTCTTGAAGCTTTGAAAAGTTCCAAGATAAAGTGCTTTTCTGGATACTTTTACAGATGTTAACTATGCCTCACAGCATACACTTGCACGTAATTAGACTGCCAAGTTATTTTAATATTGTCCAGTCTTGGACTCATCACACAGTGATCATTTTTAATAGCTGCTAACCAGAGCAGACAGTAACAGTGTTTCCTGATAAACTTAACAAATTTGCATGAACTGCACAAGATCAGATCAGTTTCTCAATTTTGGTTTGTTTTTTTGACATGGTATGCTTCCAGGTATGGAAATGTAATGAACAGAGCGAAGAAAGCAAACCTTAGACCTAATCTAGCATCAAGCCATCATCAAAAATATTTTATTAGAATATCTCGCATTCACACTCAAGAGAAAGGAACAAAAGGGACAATAAGAAACAATCTCAAAAATGGTGAAGTTCAGAAACCAAGCTTTTGAGAGATTATTCCTTTCTACAGTTTCAAATGTAGATCTGATACAAAATTACTTTTGTGAAAGTAATCAATTAAATTTAATGAATTGGTTGCCATCCCAAGGAAGAATGTATAGGCAGTCACCAGGTTAAGAATGAGTTCCGTTCCTAAGCCTGTCTTTAACTTGAATTTGTATGTAAGTCGGAACTCATACTTATGAACTGGCTGCCTATTACTAAAGATGGCAAATGGCATTCTCCTCCCAGAAGCTGGCAACTGCTGAAGCCACGCAATGTTTTCATGAACTGCTGGAAACAGGCTGTATCTTAAAAATGCATGGCTTCAGAGGTTCATGGAAACATTGCGCAGTTTCAGTGGTTCCTTGGCTCGAAAAAGGAGAATGCTGTCTGCCATTTTTAGTAATAGGCAGCCCATTCATAAATATACATTGTAAGTGGGATGTTCTTAACCTGGAGATTGCCTGTAATGTTCTAGACAGGAAATTGTCAGAGTCACACCCTGAATTACGCAGTCCAATTATGTTGACATGACCAGTTCCTTTTTCTTACAATAGTTGCTTACTGGAGGCTAAAGATTGCTAGTGCAGTTCATGTGAAAAGAGGAAGTGAAACAAAGTGCCAATTGCTTTTCACTGCATCCTGCAGTCCAAACCATTATAGCAGTTGTATTTTTCCAGAATAAAGCTGTCTCTGTGATGGTGAGAGTAGACTGAGAGATTAATGATACTTCAGCTATTCACTATTCCAATTTCTTGTGCTCTATTGAGTCTCTGAGTAAGAGGGATGCAGGTCCAAAGTTGATCTCTTTCCTCCTCTGTGATAGATGTTTAGCTCAAATCAATGTTTGAAATTCAGTTTGTTCAAATACCAAGGGCTAACTTCCTTGAATATTTTAGGTTAGGGTAATAAGATAATTCCTATACTGTTTAAGAAATCCACAAGAGGCAACTTGTTAATTACACAAAGTTGTCTTAGTCTACTGTGATGAAAAAAAAAAATGGCCCTGGCTGTTTTCCTGTATGAAAACCTTAATATAAGGTAGAACTCCCAATTCAATACCACCTTGGCTTTTTGACAATCTTCCAGCTTTTCAAGTTTCCTTAGTCACCTCTTCCTGCTGTCAATGTGTATTCCCTCTTGCTCTCAGATCCTATTTGAAGTTGTCTTTGTTCCCCCTTTCTTCAATGTTTATATCCCCACTTCCTGAGTCAGTGCAAAGTTTTATTTCTATCCAAGCTCCTTCTCCCCAAGAATTATCTGCCAAACGTCTACGCTACCACTTCCAGTTTCCTAGCATGTAAAATGTTCAAGAACATTTTAGGGTATTAATTAATACAGCCAACAGATACCACAAGCTTGATCACCATTGCTAAATTATCATGCAGACTATTGATTGGCTTTTAATTCAAAGCAACATGCAATATAATAGCTGTAGCTATATCAGTCATACACCATAACTGGATTCACAAATCACATTAAGACATGGTTTTAAACACTGTTGTAAAGAAACCAGAGTCAGGCCTGTGAACAAGCAAAGTAACCACTGGGTTTTTGGCCTGCTTTAGTTTTTTTATTTTAAAGCTGTTTTGGCATACTCTGCAGATTGGTCAGAAGTATGGGTAGGGCAAACCTGCAATAAGCCTAGAAGCCACAAACCTCAAAGCACATTCGCACATCATGCTAAGGGACAAACAACAGGCTTGATTTCAAGGTGACCCCTTTTGTAGTACATGCTAAATCACACATTAAAAGAAGAAAAAAAGATATAGTTTTGTGCAGTGTGTGAACCTATCATACATCAATGTTAGGCTTCAAAGGCAACTGAAACATTTGTTTGTTTACTGGAGCATCAAAGCAGCAAGATACCTTTGTTGTCTGCAGCAATAAATCCCAGAATGTTCTCATGGCGCAACATGACTGTTTGATAGATTTCAGCTTCTCTAAACCAAGATCGCTCTTCCCGTGATGAGAAAATTTTCACAGCTACATCACCACCACGCCATCGGCCACGCCACACTTCCCCAAAGCGACCTTTGCCAATTATTTCCTGGAGGACTATTGTTCGAGCCACAGTGCGCTGGACAAACAGTGGCAAACCTGAAAGCAAAGAATGAAGGATACAAACAGAGACAAAGCAGAAAAGAACTTATATCAGATACCAGTGTGACATTTTATCCTAAAAAATATCAGAAGCAGAATAGTTAAGCCATAGAAATATGTGGTCAGAACTAGAACTCCTTTGGACATAAAGAGTTTTGACTGCTGTGGCTAGCTGCCAATACTCAATTTTGTACTTATGTTAAGTAAACAGGAGCATACTTGTGCGACTAAAGCTAAAATTTTCAGAGGATAATACTCTTTTGAACTATATACCTAGTACATAGAACTTGACAACTGGACAACATAAATGGATTCTCTGTGCTCTTACTATGGCCAAAAGACTGATATTGCTTAGATAAGCATATATAGAATTGGAACCGTGTACTATTATAATGATATATTAACTTTTGTTGTTATACCTAGTACATAGAACTTGACAACTGGACAACATAAATGGATTCTCTGTGCTCTTACTATGGCCAAAAGACTGATATTGCTACATTGGAAAGATAAATGGATGGCCCCATTTAGTCAATGGATTGAAGACCTGATTACACTTGCTACTTATCAGCGAATTGCATATAGATGTACACTTTGTGTGGACAAGTATAATGAAAAAGGTTACTCATTTATACAAAAAACTCTGGGTTAAAAAAAAAACAGGATAGTCATAACTATTAAAAATATATATATGTATTTGAACAGTATTTGTATTAGATAAGCATATATAGAATTGGAACCGTGTACTATTATAATGATATATTAACTTTTGTTGTACTTCTTCACTTTTATGTTCAAGCGCTTTTATGTATGTTTTCCTTTTTTTGTAACTGAAAAAAGTAAACAGGAGCATACAATAATAAAATAAATACTGAAGAGGATCTCATACAAAAAGGAAGCCATGATGGCATGGAGTCAAACTCATGTGTTATTTCAGTACCCTGGAGGAGCTGGCTTGGGTGGGGGAGGCTTGAGAAATAAACAACTCAAAGCCTAATTTAGCCATATTAAGGACTTGCCCTAGCCTCAAATTCACACCTGCAAAAGAGGGCAATTATGATCCATTCTATGCAATTACTGTAATAACTACCAAGATAATATTAAGTATTCTGAACACCAGGTTCCATGAAAAAGTAAAGCTATAACTGCAATAAAAGGCACAGCCAAGGAGGATAAATTTTAAGGTGGTATCTACATGTTCAGCTAACACACTGTATACAGACTAATTGTATGAAAGCACACTATTCCTTGATCTTTCTTCCCTCAGTGGATAAAAGAAAAGGTAAATCATTGCTCAGAATTCCCTTTATGGAAGATGGTATTCTCTACTTCAGCTTCAGAATAAATAGCAACTATACCTGCCAATATATTGATGAGCAGAGGGAGATATGGCAGGAACCTGGGGGAAGGCCACTCTCATTGTTGGCAGGTTCAATGGCTGAGATTGTTCCTACCTGTCAGCCTCCTACCTGTTCCTACCTGCTAGCCTCAGTGTTCACCCCTTGGTGGCACTGGTCTCTGGCTGCTACTATTAAATGCCAGGTCAGTGTGTAATAAATCCATCCTTTTCCATGTCTTGATCACAGAGAAATCAGCTGATCTGACCTCTATAACCGAGACTGGAGGAGGGAGGGCTCCCTTCTTGGAGATGTTTCCTCCCAGGTTTTGTACAGGTAGCAATTTGGACCGGCAATGCTGTTGCTAAGCAATGCGGCCATTGAGTGAAACATCACACGACCATACCCAACTTATGTCAGTTCCACTGCAGTCATTAAGCGTGACATCATGTGACCACGACTTGCGACTTAATGCCAACTTCCCCGTTGACTTTGGTTGTGAGGGGGCAGTTGTCTTGCATGAAGCTTTGATGGCTTTCAGAGATTCTGCACTGCAGATAACCAAATGTGAGGCCTTATGGCTGAAGTTGGGCTCTAGGCAACTGAGTTGGCCTACAATGTTGCTGGTATTATTAGCCTCCTTGCTGGACAGCAGCATCCTTGCCTGAGCTGCTAGATGCTGTTGCTGGGTTAGCAATTGAATCCTCAAGGTTTTGGGGATTATAACCTGGCTTTGGATAGCACTGAGTCTGGGGCAGTTCATGGTTGCCATGGCAACCATGGAACTGCCCAACATACTAGAGGTCAACACATTAGATCTGTTTTTTTGTCTCAAGGCACCTGTGATCTGATCTGGAGGTGGAGAACATTACTATTTGTCATAGTCAGACCACTCTGACTGCCTTTTGCTTACTAGGGAGGTATGACATATAAGATCAGTCCGCCTCAAGTGCCCTAATGGACCAGGAGGGATTTCAGAGTACAGCTAGAGTTCTGTCAAGGATCTGATGAGTTGTTCTGCTGAGGACTTAGGGGCTGCTTGGAATGTTGACCACTCATGTGGCCTCTCTGTTGTATGTTTTGGGGGGGGGGAGGTTGGTTTTCTGAGGAACTTAGGGGAATGAAATGTCAGAAGAGATGCTTAGAGTATAGTTGGAGGAAAATGAAGAGCAAATATGACTGAGCACATGTAAGAACTCACATTAGGGATTACATTGTGGCTACAGAAACGTAATTATTTCTCTGCCCTTATCGGGTCTGTTGACAGCCAGCCAGTGGTCCTTTTCCAGTGATCCACTTTTTATTGGGCAGGGATGAATCTCAGAATCATCTATCAGGGCACTGTGAAGAGTATTCTATACATTTAATGGATAACAACTTGGATTCACTCAGAGTTAGATTTTGACAGAGCAGGTCCAGCTGAGGCAATGGAGAGAGTCTGATGTGGTTATCTGGTAGGAGTTTGATCCTAAGGAAATGGACAGGATTTCCAGGACTGTTAACCCAGCCGATGTAAAGGGATGTAAAAATAACCTTGAGGAACAGGAGGAAGAGCTGCAACCAAGACAATGGTCAGGTAAAATAAATTTGAGTCCAAAGCAGAAATGTAATTTGAGAAAGTGTCTCAGACTTGACCTTCCTTAATTTACCTCCTTAAGGGAGGGGGGAGGTGCATTCAGACTTGCAAGATTCTGTTACTGTAACTTTATAATAAAAGTAGTATTAGCATTCATAACTTTGGTTTCCTAGTCTGGTCTACCTGAAAGGGCTGATAGCCACCTTTCATTAGATCTTTGTCCTTCCTAGCCTGTGAAGGCTGCTGGGATGTGATAAGCAGTTGGATTCATGCAGTGGTGTTGACCTCTTTGAGAGAAGGGGTAGTTCTCCCAGCCTTCAAGAAGGCAGTGGTGCACCCCTTCCTCAAAAGGTCATTGTTTGGACTATTTTTATTCAATCTCCAACCTTCTCTTTCTGGGTAAGTTTGTTGAAAAGGTGATCAAGTTGCAACCACAGAGAATCCTGGATGAAACAAATTATCTAGATCCTTTTCAGTTGGTTTCAGGCCTGGATTTAGCATTGAGACAGCATTGGTTATGCTTGTTGATGACCTAAGGCAGAGCTAGGATTGGAGGGATTACCACTATCCTCCCTCCCCAGTCTCTCAGCAGTTTTCACACCACTTTCTGGATTGGTATCAGAGAGTGAAGCACAATGTTATGGTGGTTCTTCTTTCTCTGCAGCCAATTCAAGTCAGTGTTGGTAGGAGAGGAGAAGTTGAGTCCAAAGTCCCTGATTTGCAGAATGCCTCATGGCTTGACACACTTGCACCTCTTGTATAACATCTTCATGAAGCCACTGGGGGAGATCATCTGCTGATTTGGAGTCAGGCATCAATATGCTGATGCTACTCAGTTGTGCATCTCAACCTGACCAACAAAACAGTGTTGTCAAAACTGTTTTGGGTCTGAATGGAAAAGACAGGCTCTAGCAAGACCAAGTGGTTATAGCACTTGGTTTCCCAGTTCTGGGGACTTCCACTTTTGATCCTGAATGTGGTTATATTGCTCTGTTCAGGACTTGTGCAGAGTCTGCGGGTTTCCTTAAGACTCTCAGCATCTGCTTGAGGAGCAAGTGGCAGCTGTGGTCAGGAAGCCCTTTGCATGGGTTCAACTTGTGTGTCAGTTCAGCCTATTACTGCAACATACTTTACATGGGGCTGCCCTTGAAAACCACCTGGAAGGTACAGCTAGTCCAGAATGTGGAACTATGAGCAATGATAAGCAAGCCTTGCTATGCCCATATAACATCCCTGTTACGTGAGTTGCATTGGCATTGCTTATTGGCTTCTCAGTGCAATTCAAGATCCCTATCATCTATAAAGCCCTACATGGCATAGGACGTAGCTATTTGAGTGACCACCGTCTCCAACAGCATTTGCCTGTCCTGTTCACTCTGACAGGTCCATCAATTAAACAATGCCATTTATGTGGGACATAATGGGCCTTCTCTGTTGTTACGCTGCCCTTTGAAACAGAATCCCCCTAGAGAGGCCTTGGGTTTGGATGTTTTGGATGGATCACTTTTAATTGGGGGGGGGGGTTGATGTTGAAATATATTGTTCCCTAAATTTGTTTGTTTTATATATAATTTGTAGTAAAGTTTGCTCTTGTGAAGCCATTCAAATCTGTTTTGGAGTTGGGTGGCCTAAAAATTTAATAACTAAAGAATTTAGGAAATAAAGAGGGTAGCTGGGTGTCTTAGCTGAATACATGGTACTTAATAGTAACTGAACCACAAACATTTTACATTCTTAAAAGAACTAAGGGCATGGTAGCATGCTGTATTCCAGAGCTGAACACACTTTTTCAGGAACTGCATTCAATAATTACAATTATGCTAATGACTGTATTCCCCAAATGGGTGGAGCTAGGGTGGGAAATGTGCTGAGTCAATATAGGCAGATATTATTTTTCAGTACCAGGTATGTACTAGTTATGTACTAGACAAAACGCATCTTGTTCACAAATGCCCTAAGTTCTCCAAAGTACTTCAAAGAAGCAGCTGTGGCTGCTTTATGGAACAGATCCATTGAGATCTTGTTAAATTATCTGTATAGTTTAATCATTTCTCATTTTCATTATTCTTCTCACAGTATTATTACTAATGTATTAATATTACTATCACAAGTGATACTGTTATAATTACTAGTATTTCATCTTGATTATTGACAACCGTAACACTCACTTTAAAAGAATCAGTACTATAGAGCACTATATCTCCTTAACTTCAAATATAGTAACCTGTAGGTCTATATGTCTTGTTTAAACGAAGCATGAACCGCAAATGAGTTAACAGGGATGTGGTAGCACAGGGACTTAATGACGCTGGAGCTCGCCGGCCAGAAATGGTCAGCGCTCCAGCAGTTCGAGCCTGCTCTGCTTGATGGGGTGTGCACCTGTCACTCGTCCCTAGCTTCTGCCCACCTAGCAGTTTGAAAGTGTACCATCTGCGAGTAGATAAATAAGTACTCCCATTTCGGTGGGAGAAACTGGCGATGGAACCAGTGCTGGACCCGATCGGCGGAAAGAACAAATGCCAAACGCTGGATGCGACTAATGTGACGGGAGGAAAAGATAATTGGTGGAGAAAAGCCCGGATGAGCTGACTCCCTTGCGACCGCTGTTGGCCCCAATAGAATAGGGTTGCACTGTAGTTGTATTAGAATAGGTGTAATTGTAATTATAATGGTTAAGATGTACTTTGTGAGCCATCCAGAGTTCCCCATTGAGGGAGATGGGTGGAGATAAATCCGAAATGTAATGTAATGTAATTTATTTTTGAAGTGTATAATTTTAGCTTTTAATACCTTGCAGCTACAGTTTGGCAAACACTCTGCAGCAACCTCCAGTACAGATAAAATATTGGGCAGCAATTTAGGTGGAAGTTGCACAAAAAGCTCTAGGAGGCATAGGTATTCTTAGATGAACAGTACAGATTACCATTTAAATCTTGCTGTATTCTTAAATTTAGAATAAAATTGAATAACATTAAACATCTTTATATAAAACAGACATTATACCTGAGCCGGAGCCAGAAGTAGACAAATCATAGACTAGATCTTGCAGGGTCTTGTCCTTGGATAGACACATCTCACAAGATGGATCCTCCATGTCCAACCGCTGACGATTGTGGTACACACGCGGATGGTGATGAAAGACAAAAACTACTATAATCATAATGATGAACACAAGAAAGACCGGTCCTGCAATGACAGCTACCAACTCCACAGGTCCCCAGATTGAAGGAGTTTTATCATCCTTCCAATGTCCTTGAGAGGGAAGAGAAGAAAGAAAAGATAGGTGCTTCAGCTTCAAATTCAAAGCCAGTATAAATATTAGGATTTTAAAAAATTAATGGATCTGAAGGTATAAATTTGAGATATAAAGGTAAACACTCAAAGGAGTTGACACTGGCTTGGAGTCTGGGAGAAGTGTGTGTTTTCCCTTCCCATCTCCTGTTCTGATACAGCTATAATGAAATCAGAAGCATTTATTTTTGGAATAAAAATGGAAGTTTATAATTTCACCTGAAGCACAAAAAAGCAAAGTAGATACTTCTGTTATCCTCTGTTGCTGCTGCACCAGAAAGAGGAAATCAGGATTCACTTCTGTTTAGCATTACATAAAAACAAGTAACTGCAAACAGCAAAGACCAAATAAGCTGAAATCATGTTTTTAGTACTTTAGTACTTTTAGTAGTCTTCCTATCATTTCCCCATGATATATGATACGATATGGCATGATATGCTATGGGACCGTCTCATCCCCATTACATTGACCCATCCCACCTGGTCAGGCAGAGAAGGTATGTTACGGACCCTGTCTATGAAAGAATGTCAGTTGGTGGGGCCCAGGAGAGCCTTCTCCATTGCCCCCGTCCTATGGAACATTCTCCCCCCAGAGGTGAGGCGGGCCCTCATTCTCCTGGCCTTCCGGAAAGGGGTGAAGACCTGGCTCTGCCAACTCACGTGGGGCTGAGGAGGGGTAACCAACCCTGGGGATGGCTGGCACCCTGAAGATGCTCCCTTAGGTTAATAATTTTCATTTATCATCAATTCCTTGGAATACATTATTTATTTATGTACATTGTTTTTATTGTATTTTAATTAGTATTCTTGTTTTATCATAAACTACCCAGAGTCACTCCTTGAGTGAGATGGGCAGTGACTAAATTTGGAATATAAATAAATATAAAATATTGCCAATAAACAGAACATTGCTTCAAAATAAGAAAATAGACCATTCTTCTTTCATGGTCCTATATTCCTGTTGAAAGTTAACTCCATTACTTCATCATTTCAACTCTCTTTTTACTGCTTTCTTTTATTTAATATATGTGAAGATATACCCACATGTAATGAACGCAACATCTCCCCAAACTCGAGTAACTGTGGTAGGAACATATTTGTCAGAGGAGACCTTTTGTGCTTATGGAAACAAAGACTGTCTATATCAGCTTAAGTGTATGGAAGACAAAGGCTCCACTATACTTAACAAAAAAGTAAAGGTGGTAAATCCAAAGGTTATTTAAACAGTATTAAGCATCACTTTCAGTTTTCCATTTCATCTTTCCTAACTGGTTAAGTAATAGTCTTACCAAATGTTTAATTCAGCATACATCGCTAGTTTTTCTTAAAGATTTCCATATATTGTAAATATAGGTTATTTTTCTCAAATCACTCATGCAGACTAACCTCTAGCTAAAAATAAGCATCCTGCAATGAAATGTACTGCCACGAGGGGGAGTCAAATCTTTCTCCAACAATATTTCCTACTTTTTGCACATAAGTGAGAGACTCTAAGTACTAGCATTAGCACAGAATTTAATTCACAAGTATTGCAGCCTAGGTAAAGAATAGGGCTTTTAAAAACCTGTACAACTGTGATTATATAATATGATGGAAAGTGACATTTAATCAGAAGTTCAACTAACTATTTTATCTGGCTGTTCTTTTCAGTTTTTCACCAATTTCTATTATTTTTTGGCACAAAATAATCCCATAAACAGATGCAGTAACAGAAAACAGATATATTTTCAAAATAATCCCTTAAACATTAAATACAACTCTAGCTTTTAAAATTCAATCTACATTGATATGAATCCAATTATAATATCTCAGGCTCATTAGGTATCTCCAGAGAATTCAAGTATTAAAATAATATTTTTCTGAAGACTGCACACAAACCCTTATGGAAAAAAGATATTAATTTAAGATTCATTTATGCTATTGATGTTGTTTTTAAATTTGGGCTGTCTTAACTTGTTTTTATCTTGTTTTGATAGCTGCCCAGAGTCATGTCTATGAGATGGGCGGCCATATAAATAAACAAATAAATTTAAAAGAGAAACCTACATCTTCCAGTTCTCTGTTAGAATTGAAAGTAAGTCCATTTCCTGGATGTTACTTTAAGAATTGCATTAGTTGACTGAAGTATCTCTTTTTCCCCCCAATATGACTGCTTTAATCACTAGCAAAGAGATGCTGTACTCATAAAAGTTGCAAGGCACTTCGGAATAATTTTTGAAAGCCTTAAGTATTAGATTCACTTACTGGCTATTTTTATCTGCAATATTAGCAACAGAAGAGTTATTTTCTTATACTGTTGTGAACATTCAGCGTCATAAACATGTGAACTTTCATTATGTTACTAAAAAGGCTATTAATTTTCCCATAAAGTAAAGTCTCCGAGTTGAACTCAACTCCTAGTAACTTCATGGAAACTCATGTTCGCAATTTAAGAATTGAATTCTCACATTCTCAGTTCAATTTCAATAAAAAATGTGAAAGAAAATAAGTTACAAACAGCCTGCTCAGGGTCACTCATGCTTTAGTCACCTCCTGAATGGACTACTGCAATCTGCTGAACATGGGGCTACCCTTGAAGAATATCCAGGAGCTATTACAGCTGGTACAGAATGTAGCAGTGTGGGCAGTTATGTGTGCTCTTTGATCAGCACATTACATCTCTGCTCTCCAAGCTGCACTGGTTGCTAGTATGGTTCCAGATTCAGTTCAAGGTGTTATTTTTGACCTATAAAGCCCTTCATGGCATGGGGCCAGGACCACCTCTCCCTGATTGAATCTACCTATCCCATTAGGTTTGGTAAAAGAAGCACGCTTAGGGTTCTGTCTGCTAATGAATGCCATCTGGTAGGACCCAGAACTTTTCTGTCATGGCACCTACCATTTGGAATACACTTCCCCCAGAGATTAGATTGGCCCTGAACCCTGTCAGCCTTTTGTAAGACCTTAAAGACTTGGTTTTGTCATGGGGCCTGGGGGTCAGGAGGTGAGGCTGAGTCCATATATTGGTTATGTTGACTTGTGACTGATGGTCTGTTTTTACCACAGCTGCTGTTTCTATGTCTGTCGTTGTTTGTTCTTCTTTTCTTATGCTTTTATATTCTTTTAACACTTTAACTGTTAAAAAGTTAACAGTTAGTGGTCCAGAGTCATGAATTTGAGATGGGCAGCTATTTAAATGGAAATAATAAATAAATAATAAATGATTACCAGAATCACCTCATGTGAATCTATTAAGCTGCTGCTGATGTGGATAAAAATATGCAAGTAACAAACAAGTTACAAGCACCTAACAGTAAAAATACTAATGGTAGATTGAGGCTGACATAACTACAGCATAAAAATAATCAGGCTTGCTTTAATTGCCTAAAAAGACTCTCAGAATATTCTCATATTCATTTCTACTTACCACTGGGTACCATAAGATCAATTTTGTTACAGTAGTCAGAGTAGCAACAATGTGTGTTGCGTACAGCTTCTGAACTAAGGCAAAAAAATGGTTTTCCAGCAGGAATCAACTTTACTTCAGGAATACAGGTCCGGGTGTGATGCTTCATCCCATTCACATTTGTTATTGAGACCATACAGGCACCATCTGTTTCACATGTGGCATTGGCTTGATTGCAGTCAGAGCACAAGCACAATAAAGCTGAAGAAAAGAGAAAAATAATTCTGTGTGACAAACTACTTATAAGAAGCATTAACTGGAATTCCATTACTTTTGAAATAGGGTTATATTCCTTCAAGGTTTAACTGAGACATTACCAGTTAAAGTAATACAAACGACATTTGCAAAATATTTTGAACAAAATTAGGCCAGTATTATAAGAACAACATTTATTTTTATTCCACAGGCTTCCCCTCTGTGGAAAGTCTATAGAAGAAAGTAATTCATGTTTATTCCCTAAAATTCTGTACAATGGTTAAATGCCCCAAGAAATAAGACAAGCCCATTTCTCTTATTCACAGCTACTTTTTACAGAATGCAGATTCATATTTCAAGGCCATTCAGTCAATTCAGTTTTGAAGGAATCCTGTCTCTGATACTGGAAACAGGTTTTAATATCCTTAAACTTCAGCTGTACAACAAAATATTTTTGAATAACTCAAAGATATTCCATCTATTGCAATGAAGGCCCAACACTACTGAATATCCCATGTTGGACAAAGGCCAAAAATACACTTGTTTTACCACTGTTCCTGCTGCAACCAACCTCTTTAAGATTGAAAGCAGCAAATCTATAGAGATGCAGTTCTTTGTGGCAAGTGAGCTGAATTTCAGTGGGAACAATGAAGAACTACTGTAATGAACATGCAAAATAACTCCCACTAAACAAAACATGTCCTGAAAAGGGAAGGTTCAAACATTGAGATGAATATCAATGACCAATCAGGATTCAAACTGAACATCTGAAATGAAAGCTTCAGCAATTAGTCTCTCACAATCTTGAAAAACAAAGTTATCTAAGGCAACCATCAATTCTCTAGAACAAAAAATGAGTACCTTCCCTTCTTTTAAAGAAGGGGCGAGGAGGATATGCAGATAAATTAAGAGTATATTTTAATGGTGTGCTTGCAAATACATAAAGGACTTAAAATAAACATAGGAGTATTTTCTTCCCTCCTCCAGTTTTATTGGGACCAAAGCACAAAAACCAAATAAGCACAACTGATTACCATAATACATACCACAACCTAGCAATTATCCTTAAGAAAAATATTGGAGCGAGATTGCTGATAGCTAAAATAGTATGACATAAAACTGAGATAGGCAACCTATATCCACATATCCTTTGGTGTAGTTTCATGTTGCCCTCAGCATCCTCTATTACTCTGAATGCTGTAGATTCAAGCTCATTTCGTGAAGTGGTGGAGAGAAACAAAGAACTATGCAATCTTGTAATTGTACAAATTCCAGCCAGTTTTGCCTCTAGCTTTGGCCACCGCTATCTGTAACTTATAATATTATTCAAGTGACTTCACTTATACGACACTGGCTGCACTAAGGTGACAAAAGCTAAACAGAGTCAGGTTTAGTCTGTGCTTGGATGAACGTTCACCAGGAAATCTTAGTGCTGTAGGCTAGACTGAGAAGTAAAAAAAACATCCTGGAAGATGGCAATGGCAAGCCATTTCCATACTATTGTGGAAAAAAAAAGCTACATACTTATGCACATGAAATCACTAGGAGTCAAGTTCAGCTCAAGGGAGACTTGACTTTCCTTACTATAGATTGAGAATCCTTCCTAGGAAAAAGAATTGTCACTACAACTGAAAGTTTGGCCTGTCACTAATTTGCTAGGTGGTCTAGAATAAGCCACATTCTATGAGTATACTGATATTGATGTTGGTTTTTCTTACAGAGCATGACTAAGGATTATTGGCATTGTGGCTAAATTTGGAAGGTTTACCAAAGTACTGCTTCAAGTACTAGAAAATGCTCACTTTCCTCTCCGTTCTGAAACACCAGTGCCCTCCTCTATTTTAGGTTTCTTCTAACTGTACTTATATCTTTAACTGACCAAATTACACCTAGTAACAATTTCAAACTGTAGACCACAAAACCACTTTAACCCACAGCTTAAGGTTAGCAACAATCATAATTTGCCTGATTCAATGCCATAGCAAACGGTGGTTGGATAAAAACAGGGTTTGGAATTGATGTACTAAAGAAGAAAGAGACAAAATTGATCCTATAGCATGTAGTTTAGAGAAGTGGATTGTGGTATCTGAACTGTATGTGAAAATCTTCAAATACTAAGAATACAATTTATGTTTAGTAGGATTACTGTTTTCTAGATAAATATGCATACAAATGTAGTTTAAATGTAGCTATTGTTATTTATGTCTCAGCAAGTGGCAGCACTTGGCTGACCTTTTCTGGGTTTGGGAGTTAAGTAGGGTCAGGCTTGATTAGTACTTGGATAGGAAACTATCAGGAAATACCAAGGCTGTAGGCTATAATGGAAAATCTTTAAAAAAAATTCCAGAAGATGGCATTGACAAACCATTTCCATACTGATATGTAGAAAATTACATGAACATAAGGAGTCAAGCTTGACTCGACATTTTTATTATTTACATCTGTACTTCAATTTAATTTCTACATATATTAGTGAGTCATAACAGCTATTACAGAGAGCCAGTTCGTTGTAGTGATTAAGGCACCAGGCTAGAAAATGGGAGACCACGAGTTCTAGTTCCACCTTAGGCACAAAGCCAGCTGGGTGACCTTGGGCCAGTCACT